ACATTGTACAGGGAGTAAAAAGCAGGGCGGTTTGGGGCAGTACAACTGAGCTATCAGCCAGAAATATCAACCCTGGCATAACCTTTGTTTATTGTAATATCTATCACTGTCTTTTTGTACAAAAAGAGACGTCAAATATGAAATCCGAAAAGAAAATGAGTTCTAATATAATATTAGTGTAACAATATGTAATTTTTAAAGGTTTTTCATATACGTTTTTGTTTTTTGTTTTTGTTTTTGTTAATGATTGTTAAGCGCCTTGAACGTCATTTTGAAGGATTTGGCACTATATAAGAATATTATTATTATTTGTATCTACCGGTAGCTATTTGTAACTCATTTGTCGGGATCCTTTTGCCTCAGTACAACAATCAGCCGTCAATTCTTCACCTTGAACTTGTGCTGCACTATGAAAGTTTCTAATACTAACTGACAATGTTTTTTTTCTTGCTGCCAATGATGTATCTGATACGTCAATGTCTGACACATCGAGCAGGAAATATTAAATACAGCAGTGAGACTTTATTGACAATGATATTGGAGGATTATTCAGTTGTCTGGCATTAGATGTCTATTAGGCCTAATGTCTATACTCAATGCAGAGGGTCTACCTGAAATACCCCCACATGTACTTTAACAATGGAGAATTGTTCAAGAACTGAGAATCATCAGATTTGCATAGATGAATAAAACTGCCTTCCTGCTAAAAATGGTTTGGATACATGTACTGTGTAGTACAGTACAACCTGCTCATTGGTTCAGGAACGGTTCAAATAAGTTTATACACGTATGTAAGTGTTTTCTAACACATGTTCAGAGTAGAAGGGGCGACATTAGCATTTGATAAACAAGCGTGAGTGTGCACAATAAGCTGTGGCCATGTTGCAAGAAGTCTAGCATGAAAGGCTCGCATGAAATCGGTCAATCAATCGATATCCCTGCCATAGCTAAAAAATGTGACACCGAAAAATGTGACACCGATGGCACATGTGGAACACAATACTTTTGGTCAATTTTCAGGGCCGACAGACCAACCACCAAGTGACATGTAGAGGCTCCTGCCAGAGCTTAATAACTGACCAAAACAAAAATATTTTCTTCCCTTTCTCTTGAGCATTGTCAAAATCAAGAAGTCCACAATTTGAAATGTCTTTACAACTTTCTGTTTATAAACATTTGATATTGCTTTAAAGCTGGTTCATGTACATGTACATGTATATCCCTGGTTTGCTGAAAAACTCCATTTCATTAAATTCGCTGAACTTAGGTACATCTACGAAATTAAATTTGAAAAAATCTTTCTGGCCACCACACCAACCCTAAAACAGCAGACATACATATGTACCATTATCCAGAGCAAGCTAAACAGGACTTAACCCAAAGAGTTATCATATGGGAGCCTTGTGTGGCTTCATGAATTTCACATCAGCATCCTGCTGATCTGAAATGGATGCATTTAATGTATTATCCGCCACGCTCCTCACGTCCCTCTCATGATTGCCGGCAGATGATACTCCACGTCCCATTAAAACACCCCCAGGGGTGCTCCTCTTCATTAAAAAATGGAATCAAAAGGGAATCAGGCCGGGGAACATTACGCAGCTATGTGCACCCCCAGGAGGCTGCGCGGCCTACTAGATTAGCATCTTGGGCCCTGGGACACATGGAGCAGCTAGGCTGAAAATGCTAAAAAAAAGCAGCTGAGAGCCATGCCCACATGGCTCTGCTTGCCGTTAGCAAACTCTCCACTCTTACTGCAGCTGAACATTCCATGAGCACTCACAGTTAGCATATTTCACGAGATAACAAGCAAGGAATTTCGGCTCAACCTCGACTCCATGGGCGCGTGTGCGTTCCTTCACTAACCCCTGGCCGTGATGAACACGTAAACAATGCTGACCGGCTATTTAGAGAGTACTGCGCGCATTTCGAAGATTGCACGCCCACAATGCGCTCGCTTGCTTTGCATGTCACGTCACATACAAATACTCGCGATGACTGTACGATATGGATTATGGCAGCCTCATTTTTCGCTAAAAAAAACCCTGTTTCTTCGGTTGTAAAGGGATGAAAGGGGTACGTACAGGTACATAAAATCTTTGCTAAATAACAAAACGTCCAAACCTTATGTTTGAAAGGATTGGTTCTTCAAAACCACAACCTTAAACATTTTAAAGATGGTGCGGCACGTAAAATGGATAAACTGCAGCCTAATTATAATGTGCCATATTTTGACACATGTCATGCATGTAAATGAGACAAATCCAGGGGTTGAGATCGCGCAAGGCATGATGGGAAACAACATGGCGCAGCAAGATCTCGTACCCATGGGAATGAGGTTGATTTCGGCTTAACGCAGTTAACGGAATGGTGCTCGTAAGCGCGGAACTCTATGGTTAAGAAAAGCCATGAAATTGGGCACCATTCACAAGCATGAAAGCAACCTACGTTGCATGACACTTTGGCTAGGAACCTGGGTTTTTATTGCGTAGTAACTATTTTGTTCTGTGCTTAACAAATTTATGTAACTAAGATTCTGTACTTACCGGGTACAAGATTACAAAAGTTAACATAGTTAGCACGGATTGGTAATCATAAGCGCGGATTTCTAGAGCCATGAAATTGGGCGTCTGTCACAAGCAATCAACATTTCTATTCATGACACTTTGGCTAGGTACCTGATATTGACCATGTTTATTAAGCAAATATTGTGTTCTGTGCTGAGCATATTTCCGTCTTTAGCAGCTCTGTGAAGGGTGAAACATTTCTGGGCCCAATTACACTGCTCTGCTTACTGCTAGCGAAAAAATCAATACTACATGTATAGGGCTCGCTCAATGACGGCCATCTCTGTAGGAGAACTGCAACTGCGTATTTTACGCAATCAAGCACGAATTATGCAGTGTTAAAATGTTCCAAAAACACGCGCTTGTTGCTCGAAATGTGTTCGAAATACGACGCAGCTGATGCGCGTTATGCAAGTTGATGCTCAAAATGCCTATCTTGAAATGCATGTGGAAGGTCTGTATAAGAAATGACGTCATTTGAGCGAGATCTATACTGTCGCAGAACATTTTGAGCTTACGGCTTGCATACATCATGGGTTAGCAAGCAATTTTGGCTTGTGAGCATGCGTACGTCCCCTGGCTAAGGATTTTGCGCTTACAGGGTTAACACTGTTATAGAGCCGTTCACAGATTGTCGACCGTCAGCGCAGAATTCGGGGAAATTGGCAGCGCCATGAAACTGGGCCGTTTGATTCGCTAATCTCTGGCTAGAGATGTTAACCTATTTGGCGAATCCTATTTCCCCTGCCAGTCACCCTGCTGTGTCAAACTCATTAGGGGGATCAAAGCGTCCCCCGAAAATTGGAATGCGTTGTTAAGTTGCAGGGGGCATGTCTGAGCCGGCTTGAGTTATCAAATTTGTCATAATCATGTCAAGCCTTCGGTAAAATTCAATGACGTGGCATGGGGAGATAGATGAGATGGCTTAATAAAGTCTTGCTGCAAATTACAGAGAGAGAGAGAGAGCAAAAAAAAGGGGAAACTTTGGAGCTGAAACTTTTCATTTTGATATCCGGACACTAAGTTTAAAGGAATGTACAACATTTGCTTTTGCTGCAATTTTCAGAAAACAATGGACTTGGAGGATTAGCTTGACATAGCAAATATTGTTAAACTGACTTGTTTCATGTTTTGGGCTTGTAGATGCTGGAAAAACCAAGAAAACCAACCATGTTCTTGTAGTCTGGTTCCCTGGCCCCACTTAAGATGAAACGGATCAATTTATAGACTTTGGGGAATTTTTAGGTCAAAGAATCAGTCTAGCTGGCTTGTACCCCTTCACAGGTGTGCAATCAATTGCAAAGAAAATGCGATATGAAAAATTAGGTACAGTTTTTGAAAAAAGCCAGTTTTTTTCCAATGCTGGTCGAGCGTTTGAAAAATACACTTAGTTCTTGAAAATGTCAGCACACCAGGAGCCACGATTTTACAGGATGCTTTAGACTGTCATTCCCTAACAATTCAATAAGGTATTCCGTGATAATTTGATTATTTTGTGTTTTTATGTTTGCAAATGTTGCATCTTCCCTTTAAAAAGAAATTGTAAATTTGAAACATAACTCTAAGTACTGTGCTAAAATCTGCATGAAAGAAATGTATTTTTCTATTTCAACGTACACATATTTGTTTATATATACATGTAGTTGGGTTTTTTTTCTAATTCATCATTTTTTACAATTCTGCCTATCCCAAGGTCCAACAGCCTCAAGATCTGTGGCTGCCAGCCCCCACAGGAACGGACAGTGACATTGTTTTGCGGGACAAGTTCCCAATGTCTCATATTTCCACACTATACATCCATGGAGTTTTTGACTGGCAAATGCTACAAGGCAGCACAATCTTTTACACCTGTTCCACATTGTCGTATCTGGCAGGGTTAGGGCTATTCTTGGTTCTATTGGCTAGGACTCCATGTAACTCACAGACAACATCTAGAAACAGGCAAGAAAGCAGGCCAGAATTCCCACAGAAATCTGAAAGTAAAATTCCATGACTTTTCCCATGACTTTACCACGACAGGAAAAAAATGCTTTCCATCACCAACTCCTGCACCGTTTTAGCATCTTAGGAGCCTTTTGATATTTTTTTTTTAACAATACACTAGCCAGCTCATCATGTTGAGGCAAGGGACGTCTGTGGCTTCCAGTTTGACACAAGACCAGTAGAATGAAAGCTGGAAGACTGCCATAGCCAGATGTTATGCATCATCACCTATGGGTTGCGCAGGATTCCTTGACATGTTTCCTAGGGAAATCAACTTGCCATGATTTCATGTAAATTGACAAATTTCCGTGATTTTCCACGATAGCTTTAAATTCCAGGATTTCCTGGATTTTCCAACATTGTGAAAAACACTGGCAGGCAACAAAAAAAATAGGCAACAAAAAAAATAGGCAAAACAAAAAATGGACAAAAACTTTCATTTGCACTTACCAAGATTTCCGGATGCTCCTTGAGATGCGTTGTTGGCCTGTTGGGCATCTTGCGAAGGAGACAGATACGGTGAGGTGGGAGGAGTATCCGTGACCTCTGACCCGGGGTCAGGTGAGCTGACCTCATCCAGGCCTTGGTCTGCGTTCAGAGCTGCATTGCGGAGGATTTTTACCACCTCATCATTCTGGTTGGAACAATAGTTAATAGTTGATTAAAATAGATTTAAAAAACTATCAAGGGATTATTGAATGACTCCATACAACTGTTGACATGTAACCTTATAATTTAGGATTGCCCAATCCAAATCATACTCGAGGTGACATGGCTACCATCAATGAATAAATAAATTTGTACAAACTGACAAAATTATTACGATCTTATTAGATTTTACCACTCAAAAGACTTCAACTCCTAAAAAATGCATTTAAAGCCCTGTCCGCACTGGACTTTTTTTGGTAAAACTTACCGAGACTATGGGTACTTTTCCCATTTTAAGTCCAGTGCAGACAGCCTAGGACGTTTTCCTCTCAGTTACTTTTCCCGAGTCCAGCGGTTACTTCTACTGGCCAACTGATGCCCAGGAAAACTGACCGGGCGCCCAGGAAAACTGACCAGGTCACTTTTCCCGAGACGATATGTCCAGTGCGGACAGTGTGAGTCGGTAAAAGCGGCTCGGGAAAGCGTACATCCGGCTCGAGCGCGAGTATCATGCATACAGAGACCGCACGATCCCACACGTGCTGTGGCCGAACATTTTGTGGAAACACGTATGCTGCGGTGTGTCAAGTCCGAGCGGTAAAATCTCGTTATAAATATATTTTAACGGAAAATACATTCACAGAAAAGATCAAGATCACGTTCTGGGAACTACTTTGCAGTTTTTCTTTTTCCCCTACGATGTTTGTTTGGTATTTTCTACGATCCAAATTCGTCCTGTTACGCCATGTAGTCTGCATGGCACCGTATGTAGGCTGCAGTCACTGGTTCAGGTCCTACATCATAGCTTTGATTCTGTTAGCATGCGATGGGAACCAGCGATTACCGATGGAACTGCTGCCGCACTGAACATCGTACAGCGGCATGGCTTTGATGCGATGTCGTCCATCAGAAATGCGTCAGAAATATTTCGTCAAGATTTATCGTGTCAAGATGAAATAATATCGTGCATAATGGCTTGTGTAATATCCACAAGTGCGTATTGGGGGCTGAAAAAATGTGATCGGCATTTTATTTCCTGCTTGAGTCATTATACTGACAGCTCGGTCACTTCTACCACGCCGTCTGGGTAAAATTTCCCGTGTTGAAAGTCCAAGTGCGGACAGTGGTCACATTTGACCATTTTTCATGTTACCATCGTCTCGGTAAAACCTCCAAAAAAAATAGTCCAGTGCGGACACGGCTTTAGCCTTTCAGTGACCACACTTTTCTCAGTGTAAAATGGTTTATGTCCAAAGCATTTCCAAAATGTGGATAATTCTGGGACTTTCTGAAATTTTCTGTTTCTTTAAAATGCTCTACCAAAAACTTTGCACACAAAATGTCCTTTCCGTTGTTTACCATTAGCGCACAAGACTTCCTGGCACACCCCTGTCTAGTCTATGCATGCCAGAGTGATGTTAGAGCACCCCCACACAGAAACATACATATATGCATACACATTAATACATAACCTTCATTCATAGATATTGGCCTGGGTCCTTCTATAAATTTAGGATGCACAGTTTGACATTTTGTCCTGTCCCTGTTAACTTGGCACTTTGTAATTTGCCATTCAAGTATCATTAAGAATGACTTCAAATTACTCATTTAGTTGTTGAGCAGGTAGTTTGCTACTCTTGGAGGACGACTGCATTAAAGAGTGCATCAGTCGGTCAGATATAACAGGGACAGGAAAAATGTGTATTCTCGTTTAATGTAATATTTAATATTTGCAAACATCAAAAGCAAATCTATGGAATTGCTATGAAATACATGAACATGTACATGTACCTTATTTGACTGTATGTGAATAATAGTCTGAAGTATCCTGTGAGAAATCATGGCACCTGGTGTGCTGTCATTTTCACGAAAAGTGGACTTTTTCAATTTCCAATGATCGTTTGGGGAAAAAAAACTGCCTTCTTTTCAAATACTGTCCCCAGTTTGCAAAATTTAGTTATTCCACATTATTATATTTTTTTTTGCAATCAGTTACACATCTGTGAACGGGTGCAAGCCACATAGACTGGTTCCCTGACCTGACAATCCCCTGACATCTACAAATTGCTGTTTCATCTGAAGGCGGGTCAGGGAACCACACTACAAGAACAGCAGTTTTGTCTTGGTTATTCTGGCGTCTATGAACACAAAACTGGTTAGTTTAATAATATTTGCTATAAAATACTAAACCCCAAAATCCATCCATTTCTGAAAATTACAGCCAAAAAACCCCAAACGTTGTATATTACCTTTACCCCTATCCCTATGAGATTCTTGAAATCCACACAAAGATACTGTGGTATTCTGAAGGATTAAGGAAGATCAAGCCAAGCCAATAGTACTTAACATGGGGCTTGATTCCCCGTAAAAAAAAGTACAAAGTATGTGCCATAGCTTTTCTTCACAAGAAGTGGATTTTAGTAAACATACACAAAGATATTATGGGTTGATATTATACAAATATTGACTGACCCAGAGTGAAATGGGAGGAATATTATCGCTCGGTAAAATCTGGACTTTTCCATTTCACGTGGCGAAGTGAACTGAACTGGAAAAGTCCAGATTTTACCGAGCGATAATATTCCTTCCATTACACAATTTAAAGCCACTCAATACTTGTTTTATATCATTGACAGATAGATCCTTGTCATTTGAAATTTTAATTTAATACAAATTTTAATATATTTTAATTTAATACATAATTGCTGGAAAATGAATTTCTCTCTTCTAAACCACCCCTTCACGAAAATGCTTGAACCCAACGCTGCACACTGGCTCTTTGGAACAATACGCGCTATGCTGAACGTGCACATCAGCATGCATTTGCACACACATACCGCATTATGGAACAAGAATGATCGTAACTGTTCAATAGTATTTCCCATTCCCCATGGGCGAATGGGACTTTTTGAGCCCCGGCGTGAATGGGAGCAATAACGCATGACACGTGATGTGAGTTCCACCAATCAAATGACAAGGATCTGTATGTCGGTTACATAACATGTATAAAGATCGTTTGCACTACAGCCATGTTTGAGGTGTGTGCTTTTGTTCAGCATGGATATGCATGAGTTGACCTCTTGTGTATTCATTGTTAGTGAATTAACATAACATAGCACACATTAAAGATGGCAGCTGAATGCAATGTCTCTATGCATACCTGTGTGAGTTGGATGGGCATCAGCTGGGCCTTGTTCCGTGTGAACGGGTTGGCGTGGCCTTCTTCTATCAGCAGCCTGACGGCCTGGCCAAAGTTCCATCGGGCTGCTTCGTGTAGGGGTGTGTTGCCGCGATGATTGGTTTGGTTCACGTTAGCACCATGCTACAGATGATAGAATCAGTGCCATTATGAAATGTGCCCCTCAAGCACAAAACAAACTACTTTGACCACTTTTTGACAACTGGGATTCTGGGCTCATTGAAAAGGACATTGAATAAGTTTTCCAATGATGTATAGAATACGGGAATCCGACAAAATCTGACAGAGTTGTAGGTATTTTTTTCAGTTCCAAATTTTCATCAATATTCCATGTATATAGGCTGTATTATAGGCTGTATCTCAAAATACAGCTTGTCTTGAAGATAACATGAACAAGTAATATGTAAAACACTGCTGTCATTAAAGGACACTGCCTTGACAGCGACATTCCTCTTTTTTCACAGGTATGTGATAATTTTGAAAGTGTGATCAAACTGCAAGCATACATCGCTCGACTGGTTCCAGCACCCCTTCCAGAGGGAAATTCCGGACTTTAAAAAAATGGTTTCTTACTTTGATCAAGAATTTTGCTGGTTTGACGTGACCATTCAGACAGCAGTAATGTAGAGGTGTGTTGCCTCTGGCATCCTTCACATTGCACTTGGCACCGTGCTGCAGGAGCTGGATCACAATCTGCAGTCAAAATGGACACACACAGAGTCAGGTAATCCCACTTCTGCAACCGGTGCACAGATCTTTTCTATCACTACTGGAAGGTGAAGGTTTAACTGTGACATTGGCAAACTTGTGTTCAAGATGGAGATTTTTGCTCTGCTTGTTTCTGCATTTTTAGGTGCCTATCAACATTAAAGTAGTCTGTCACGAGCCAAATATCTCGTCAGCATTTACCTCGGTTTCCTTGGCATGAAACCACTGAGGCAAGAGAGAGAGGCAAGTGGGGGTAAGGTGGCTTGCCCAAGGACACAACACATGACCAGCAGGTCAGATTCAAACCCCTGATCCTCTCATCATGAGTCACAAACCCTAACCACTAGGCCACACACACGGACAGCATTACAGCTGTTCAAATTTCAGATTTGATCAGGAGTAAGTCTCGCCAGATGGGTGTTGCTACAAATGTGTTTAATAAGATCCACCATAAAGTAAATAAGAACCTGTGAGGGTGTACAATGTAGACGGTTATTGTGTTTGGATAAACTCCACTGGCAAAATGGCAGAATCATATACATAGCTTGGTGGAAAATATCCGTGCCTGGAAGGCAGCATTCATGTAGACATATTTTGCTGCACTTCTTTTCCAGGTTTCACGTGCTGATCAGCTCAAAAACAATTGTGTTTAACAAAGTCTGATTGCTTGTGAACTGCATCTCAGCTAATTACGGCTCAGTATGAAAATGTTTGTGGGCCTCGTTTGTGACCCGTCACTACACAAAATGAGCCTAATTTCAGACTCATTTTATTATAAGATGGAATTTTGCGTCGGGGTGATATAAATCAAATTAGGTTTTTGCCCTTCTTATAATAGTTTATGCGGTACCCGCTGCTATGTATATCGGATTCGAACCAGCCAACCAATCCCGTTAGCTCGGTGGTCGAGTGGTAAGACATCTGCACTAGAAAGCAGGAGGTCGTGGGTTCAAGTCTCACCCGAGTGATTTTTTCCAACTTTCACTGTTGAGTATACAGTGTTTAAACGTCGGTGAAGGGCAAAAACCTAATTTGAAAGATACATTTTGAATATGCAAAACAGGAGCTTTCTAATGATATGGACATATGGGGATACTGAGTTCGGTGTCGGATATATAGACCACCAACTACAGTGAAGTTGTAAGAGTAAGTTTTGAGAAAATTTAAAAAATTCCGCTGAGGTATTACAGTGAATAAACTATCGCCTAATTAAATGGCATGAAGGTAAGTTTTAACGATGTTTGATAGAACAAAATCAATAAGGAAAGGTAGAACAGGACTTTACAGATTGAGGTTCACTGGAAAAAAAGAAAGAACGAAGACCTACACATTTTGGCTTAGCCCCACTGTACTGCAAAATGGCAATTTATGACTTAACACTTCCATCTTATAATGACTTAACACTTGTTTCGTGGTGACAGTTAAAGAGGTTGTGGAATGCTCGAAGACATTTCCGTCATTTTTCGGGTATATGTAGCCTAAGGTGTGATGAAATAATAAGAGCTTTTTTTCAGGTCCTGTTTCGACCCGAACGAGCAATTTGTGTAAAAGTCGTCGTTGGGGGCAGCAAACAAAACATAGAAAAAACGTGACGTAATAAACAGGACTCCCTATGCAGCGTAGTATAAACGAGTCCTGTTTATTACGTCACGATTTTTCTGATTTTACGAAGAACCCGACGACTGTTGATTGCAATTATGCGCTCGCCGACCAACAAATTACTTGATGAATTTCAGTTTTATAAACATATAAACGCACATTACAAAAGAATGGGAGTTTGTCATTATGATATATATGGGTCTACTCTACAATAAAAAAATATAAAAAACAAAATGACTTTCAGCATTCCACAACCTCTTTAATATCTGTGCTCAATCCAGGCATGCAACTGGGAATTTAGGTAAAAACAAGGAAATTGTAAACCACACAAGACTCTGTACAGTGTTTTTCAATTTGTAATGGCATTCATGAGGAGTACAAAAAGAGGAAATCAGCGGATCCGAGGAAAAGTTGCATTCCTGTCATTAGCATCTCTAAGGAATTGGCTCCCGTTCAAATCAAGCCACTTTTTTTGTGGGGGGGGGATTGATGTGCGCTTGTCTTACCAATGGGTGGTTGTACTGACATGCCAGGTGCAACGGCGTGCACTGCTGGCTGCCGCCGCCCCGGCTATTGATGTTACTCCCTCTGCGCAGGAAGAGCGCCACCATGGAATCGTGCCCGTGTACAGCCGCTACGTGGACGGGGGAGAAACCTTCAGCGTTACAGGAGTTGACACTGAGACCGGACGAGGAAACGAGAGTTCTCTGAGGAGAAACAAAATAAGTCACTACTGTCATTCCCTGTGGATATTTTGGAAAAAAATTAATTACTCTTAAATACAGGTCAGGTTGTTTGTGGTACAATTTGAAAATCTTGCACAACATTCAAACAAGCGCGGCAAGTGCATAATGAGCTCTGGCCCGGTTCCGGAATGTCTCACTTCATATGCAATATAGTCGCGCATTTGCATTGATCGAAGCAAAGGGGTGTGTTTCGAAAACTTTCGTCAAGGGTGCATTTACTGACGACGGCATTGCATTTGGTCAATTTTTGGTCAATTGGTAGTTATATTTTATGGGAAACTAAAGGGCCTGTTTTCGGTCAATTTTCTGGGGACAGACCAACCGACCGACCAACTGACCGACCGACCATGAAGTGACATGTAGTAGCTCCTGCCAGAGCTTAAAAATACAAAACGCAATCATTGCACACATTCTGTGGGAGCTTTACTAAAAATCTATACTTTGTTTTCTTTTAAAGCCTTGATACTGCAGCTAAATTAAAACAAATAATTATTTTCTGGGAAGAACTGCTCATTTAACAGTCGCTCAGTGTTGGCTGATTTTAATCCCCCTCTTCACTTTGCACTGGGAGAAAGTCAAAATCAGCCTTTAGCTTTAATACCACTTCTCCTAAAACCATTTATTTTGTTTAAATATTAGGGTTGGACTGAATATACCAAATTTCCCAATATTCACTTACCAACCCAATATCCAATAGCACATTTACGATTTGAAAATTCTAAAAAAACAAAGGGATTGGTCTCGTGAAGATGAAGAAAAATGGCCATATAATCATATAAGTTTCATTATTTCTCAATTATAAAATATATAATTATATTTCTCAATTGCCACAGTTTTGTCCACATTCACTTAAAGCTGGCCTCAGGTCAACCTGCGATATGCTTGCGCTACGAGAGAACAATCTGCTTCAAATAGAAAAGTAATGCTAATAAAATAAAATATAATAAAAAGTAATGGGTCACAAAACTAAGAAATTGTGTAATTTTCGAGAAACAAGGGGCATCCCGACACAAAAAAAATCGCAACCATGCTCATGTCTTCATCACGCAATGACGATTCTAGCATATACAGCCATGTGACTTCTTTAACAAAGGCTGTTAAAGCGTGTTGATAACAATCAAACGAGCTTCCACAGCTATATCTGTTCAATAAACCGTTTGTGCCGCACGTTTTTGCCGTAGCTTGATCTTGAAAAGTTAATCGCCGACTGTTGTGTTGTCGCAATGTCGACCTGATGAGGGCGGCTTTAATACAAGCATGAATTGAGAGCTTCAATGACACTCTCATTTGCATCCAGAAAATCTTTCAAATATCAGCTCGTCACCTACATAGCAAAAAAAGTACCCATTCACACATGATGTTCTTAATACTTTTATTACGCTCATTGTTGCATGCAAATTCCAATTGATGACTCACTTGATTCCTGTTCGGCGCACAAAATTTAGCCTGGTGCATGTCAAACTTGATCAGTTTGTTTTGAATATTCCAATAATTGATCTGATCTAATTTCAAATAATCGAATACTCAATTATTCGACAATGCTCGGCACTACATTGTATTGCTGTAAGCTCGACTGCGGCGCCGCCGGTTACCTTTTGCAGGGTGGCGCATTTACTGCACTGGCAGAGAGGATGGCAGAGCTTGGCATCTAATGAAACCTCTTCATCATCGTCACTCTCGTCAGTATCGCTCAGCCAGCCCAGCTGGTATTTGACCATCAGCAGGTCCCCGTCTGCAACTGACCTGAGTAACTTCTCAACCTAAGACAGAAAAAAGTTTTAAATACAGTCAGTACGCTTTCCATCTAAGGCCAAAAAAAAAATAAGTCGGTCTCTGGTCAGCGCGCGCCGCAATTTTAATCATGCGCGTCAATCTTTTTTTTTCCCAAAATGTTCCGCGATAGCTCCAACAGCGCCCTCTATTGCCGCACCTCCTCAATTTTTTTTTACCAAAGAGCACCAAGGAATGGGAAATTGCACCAAGGCAAATGATCGAGAGCACCAAGGCAAATTATGGCGGACACCAATGTACATGAGGACACCAAAAAAGCAAAATAGTACCCCACCTTGTCTGTACAATCCAAGCTTGAAAAAAAAAAAGCCGCGTCGCCGCGTCAATTCCGGAACTTTGGTCTGACCAGAGACCAAATTTTTTTTTTTTTGGCCTAACAAGAAAAATTTAGACCGCGAATAAACTGCGAAAGCTGTTCTTATTTTTTTTTCTACTATTATAAGAAATGTTTGGCATAAAAGTTTTGTTTTTCTACTTGGTTGACGGTGTTGCTTACCATTTTGCTATAGGGCGAGGAACTTCTTCTTGATCGCTGTCTAGCTCGGCTGGCAGTCTTGGCAAAACTTGTCGTGAAGGAATCTGTGTTGTCAGGTGGGCTGAAAGAAGATGCTATAGGGGGACTCGAGGACTGTAAGAGAGACAGTAGCAACAATACAGCAATACTCTCCCGATTGGGTCCTTAGTCATATCAGGCATCTCCAGATTGAGCCATAAAACAATACAGATTGGGTCCTCAATGCTATGAGGCATTTTCAAATTGAGCCATACAGCAATACTCTCCCAATTAGTTCCTCCATGCTATGGGGCATCTCCAGATTGAGCCATATAACAATATAGCAATACTCTTCCAAATTGTCCTCTATGCTATGGGGCATCTCCAAATTGAGTCATATAAAATAATACAGCAATACTCTCCCGATTGGGTCCTCAATGCTATGGGGCATCTCCCGATTGAGCCATATAAAATAATACAGCAATACTCTCCCGATTGGGTCCTCAATGCTATGGGGCATCTCCCGATTGAGTCATATAACAAATACAGCAATACTCTCCCGATTGGTCCTCTATGCTATGGGGCATCTTCAGACAGAATAATATAACAATGCAGCAATACTCTCCCAATTGGTCCTCAATGCTAGAGGGAATACTTTAGCTTTAGTCACATTTGTTGTCATTTACCTATTCACTCTGACCAAGCACTGGCCAATCAGATTACGTTTGTGTTAGAGTGGGCAAATAGATCCCACTGTTCAAAAGCAGAAGAGATGTTTATCAGTGGTTTTTCAAAACTTCGACTTCGTCTCAACAGAGAAGAAACTTGGTTGCAAAATTTGTGGTGACACTGCAAACATCTACTGCTTCTTAAATCCATCAGGGTTAAAGAAAAATGACTGCGCAACTTTTCTTCTAAATGTTTAATTGAATGAACTTGAAACTTTGAACATATATCAACCCTGATCCCAAAGTGTGCATATTACTCAGACGTAATGATGATGTCATCAAACTCCCGTTACCTGAATGTAATTGTCCTTTCCATCTGAGTTGTGGTTAGCGGCTTCTTGGAGGCTTCTACTGACATTGACGTTGTAGGAGCACATGATGGGTGTTTCCTTTCGTCTGTTGCGGGCTTCAACTGATGCTCCATGCTCCAGGAGAATCTGGACTAAGCTTTCTGTGGCAAAAAGAATTTGATTTCAGAAATGTCAAAGTGGCTACAAATTTAGAGTGTGACATGCAGTAACTGGGGCATGTGTAAATCATCATGATTGTCTACTTCATTTTAATTCTAAGTCTCAATAGTAGACCCTTAAGGCTCCCTTTAATTTGGCTTAATATCATTTTTATTGTAATGTTCTGAGCAATCACGACTAGGCTAGCGTAGTTGAGCTGACCCCGGTTCATACTTCATGCCAAGTGAAATTTACGACATGAAACCTCCGCTGCGAAATTCACCAGAGTTGAAAAGTGTTCAACTTTTGCAAATTTGCAGCACGCAAACTTGTCTTGAAATCACAAATTCATGTTAGCTTTCACGCTGTGTATGAACCGGCCTTAAGTCAGTCACAGAACAATAGGCTGGTCCTTCAGGTTCGGGAAAAAACGTCAACGGCTGGAAACCCCCACAATGCAACTTACCGTATCCCCATCGTGTTGTGAGATGTAGCGGTGTATCACCTTGGCAATTTGCGGCATTGACATCCACGGCATGATTGCTGTACGTCATAGCTTTCACGCACTGGGTGTCAATTACAAAATCAATACTGATATCAATGGATGTGATCAAAATTTTGCGGCTTTGCAGGTTTTTTCAAACAAATCATCCTCATCAACATTTATGCTAGGAAACATCCCCATTCTGCCAAAATGTATCACTATGCAATAAAATTACATTGTTTATTTATAAGCATCAAAAAATTGAAAAACCAGATGCTGGATTTCAAAGGATTCTGAGCAGTAAGGTTTGAAGAATTCCAGTATTGACAAACAGTATATTGTGGTTCCCGCTGCTACCTCAGTTTTTAACTGGCAACCTCAGAAAGCCCAATCATTCAGTGGTTGAGATGTCTTCTCTAGTAAGCAAGAGGTTTTGGTTTTGAATCCTAACCAAGACAGCTTGCATTTTTCCTCACAGGGTCTAAGACGGCACTGTAGTATATGCTTATAAACATGATGTTGGTAAAGGCACAGCCAAAATTTTCAATAAGGCTCGCTCAATGACGGCCATCTCTGTAGGAGAACTGCAACTGCGTATTTTACGCAATCAAGCACGCATTACGCAATGTTGAAAATGTTCCAAACACACGCGCTTGTTGCAACCGATGCTCGTTATGCAAGTTGACGCTCAAAATGCCGATGCACGTGGATGGTCTGTAGGAAATGACGTCATTTGAACGAGACCTATTGGCAAACATAGATACCAAGCAAGAAGTGCTACTATTTTAAAAGATTTGACAATTTTTGTAGAACATACATCTTCATGGCCGTTGGCACAGCAGAGGTGCAGGGGAGTGTTACCATCATTATCTTCCACGTTCACTGAAGCTCCTTCATCTAATAAGAGTAACTGCGAAGAAAGAAAGAACAACACCTGAAACGTACAAATATCCCAGAACTCTGGCGCTCTCAGAGTAGTTCGCTACAACTCTCTCCAACACCACAATACATCAAACAACCAAACCAGCATTTCCACAATTTCACCCCTCCCCCCCCCAAAAAAAAATCCAAGTGCCCTTGATCACTGGAACATGCTAACTGTTTCCCCAAAACACAATTCAAAACTCTCCTAATAAGAGTAACTGCGAAGAAAGATAGAAAGAACAACACCTGAAACGTACAAATATCCCAGAACTCTGGCGCTCTCAGAGTAGTTCGCTACAACTCTCTCCAACACCACAATACATCACACAACCAAACCAGCATTTCCACAATTTCACACCCCCCCCCCCACAAAAAAAAAATCCAAGTGCCCTTGATCACTGAAACATGCTAACTGTTTCCCCAAAACACACTTCAAAACTCTCCAGAATCTATGCGAGAAATGATAAACAGCAGGCTCCAACTTTGAAGAAAAAAAATTATGTTTGGGTAACAAAGAGGGCGGAGGATAGCTTCAGTACAGGCGCCCAGTCAGCAAATGCAGTTAATGGGTACGTTCGTTTAGCTCACCCGGATCGACTCGGGTTTAGCCCAGTGCCGTTAGATTAGCTCTGACGTCATTCTCGGGACTCACCCAGGTTAGCCACCACAGACTCTGCTCGTAGTGCAGAGTCAGTAGTGGAAAATACATCACACGCATGGTTGTTCATTCCAAGAAAAGGACAAATATGGCGGCCAGACGGCAGAAATCTCAAGTGGACCAGAAAATCAACTTTATTTAAAGTCTGAAGTGAAATATTTATTGAGTTCATTGTGACATTACTGGCTTTAATTTCAGCCCAACTTTTTTGAGTTTTGCAATTGACTGAAAAGCAGTAAATCTCAAACTAATATCCAATCCGAAACGGGCGTTTTGTCAGTGGCTTCGGTCACGGCTACGGACATCACGTGAGGATCACGATGGCCCGCATTTGAGCATTCAATTAGCCCGGCTGTCATGGCTAACCCACCTGCCTTTACCTGTGAGCTACTTGAAAACACCCACTATAGAGGTCAGTGGTGCATTAATGTACAATACTATAATACTTACTACGACATGTTGTTGGCCTCTGCTGCATGCTACATGAAGTGGCGTTGAGCCGTGGTAATCGGTAGCATTAACATCGCCACCTCTCAACAACAGAACATTAATGACATCAGTATGACCTGCAGGGAATAATGCAGAACAAAATGATGTGAAAGCGCCTCACAGGTTGTTTGTGTGGAAACATTACTACACGCAGAAACCAGTAGAAGTTCACTTTAACTGATTGTAATTTGTTGTTTTTTTAATAAAATGTCTTGTATGCCACATATAAAGGGACTGTTTGAAATTACAAGCCAAACAATTATTTCAACCAATTAACAGCCCTTGCTCTGGTATTAAAGGTAGTCATGCCACACACAAAATAAATATTTTGAAAAAATGAAAGAAAATAAGTTACATCTGCCCTTTTTTTTAGTCCATTACTTCTGGTGTTAACAATGAATTGTTTTGCTGGGACATACAAAATAACAAATGTGCACTCTGTTATTAAAATAACAAATGTGCACTCTAACATGGCTGTTACACATATGGTCTATTAAATGAGATGACTCCTAAACAGAACATTTACCAAAAATAGCATATTTACCAAGCATAGCTATGCAAACTTAATCAATGAATTCAAGAAGTGTAAAGTCAAATTGAAATGGCTTACCGTACATTGCGGCTACATGCATGGCAGTACCGCCTCGGTCATCTCTAGATGATGCCGTCACTGCTCGCGGATCATTACGCTTCCTGAACAACAAACCAGTAAACATACAAGTAATCACGGTTCTCATTCTGTATAATACATGTAGCATGGTACAGTACCACCTTGGTCATCTCTAGATGATGCCGCCATTGCTCGCGGATTAGTACGCTTCCTGAACAACAAACCACCGAACAAGTAAGTGATTCAGAATTATAGTTCACAGGTTATTTAGTGAGTAAACTTTGGAGTTGATTTCAAAACAAAATTAATTCGAAAAATTCAGGAAATTGTCGAAGCATACTCTGATGAGTACTTACGTGGCCACCAGTTCCTCACATTTGTCGCAGCCGCACAGCGGGTGGCACATCTGGTCTAGGAGCCAGCTGTGATCGTTGGAGCTGAGTTCTAGCATCTTGGCTACGTCTGTGGTGTGTCCTTCCCTGGCATGCTGCAAACAACAATCATATTCCATTCAATTCAATAATGATGAAAATATGTGACATGTTCGGTCAAAACCAGACACTTCTGGGCAGAGCTGCAAATGGGGATATGACCCCCTCCCCTCCCCCCCCCCCCCCAAAAAAGTTGGGCTGATTTTCTAGGTTTTTTCCTGATATTTAAATGTGTATTCCATTCAACCAGATAATGAAGGTATGTGACGTGTTCTGTCCAAACCAGATGCTACAGGGAAGAACCTTTATTTTATGTAGATATTACCCTCCCCACCCCCCACCCCCCAAAAAACAGGCCGGTTCCTGCCCCACAATTAGTATCGATATTGTACAGACTGGGAGCCAGTCTGCTCGCAAAGCAGATCTGTTTGTGCCCAAAACAAAAATCCTTTTCTCACAGGTTAGCAGACGTCTAAAAAATGGGGGAAAAGGAGGATTTCTGGTTGGAATGAAACATACCAGTTGAAAATTTATTAATAAAAGAAAAAATTGAATTTGATGAGGAGCACAGGGAACACAACTTTAATAGTAACGGTAAATTTATTATAAACAGCTGTACTGCTGAGCCAAATAAAATCAGTTCACATTTGCCCCTCCCCATCCCAACATCCAACAAATACAAACAGTTTCAAAATACCTGACAAAGAAAAGAATGTCATTCCTAACCTGAAAAAGCACATCGATTGCTGAAGTATCTGTATCGGCTTGGTCTATATTCTGCCACATACTGTCAGTGGACATCATCCTGCGTAGTACATGCAGCTTCTCTGGGTTGGCGGCACCGATCACTACATTGCTCATGTTGCCCATCTTGACATGCTCCACGGCCGCCTCGATGGAAGCCAGATAAAACCTGGAAAGGGGGAGGAGAGAAATCTTCCAAATACTGATTTTTGCAGGGAAGTTTTATAGAATTGAGTGACGTACCAGGAGTCAGAATGTTCCTTTCAACGTAAACAAGCCACTGCATGCATGCAAATCACAATAGGGACCATGAGACTCGGAAAAAGTTGTCTATTAAAGATATAGTCCATCATTTGTAATTTGTGCATTTTGTTCGTTTGAAGCAACAAAAGCGTTCAAAATCTAATGAAGGATACTGAACAACTAAACCTGATGAAGTTTCAGCTAAGCTTCAGCTGTATATTCCGAGAAAAACAGCATTCTAGGATCTCAATTACAAATCAAAAGTTACTGAATCATGTTTTGAATTGTTTTGAATTGCAGCTATACGCGACGTCGCGCACTGATCCAACAAATTATAGCAACCGCGCGCGCGTGTGCGTCGTGCCAATGCTTGCGCGCGCTACGCCGAATAACAAAACGAACTACTAATTTAAATTTGCCTACGGTGCGTCTTAAGACGCACCGTTGGAAAGGCCTTCTTTCGTTGATTACTTCAAAATGACAGCTTGCCAGAAAGAATAATTTCACAGGGAGTTTAGTCCCCTTACTATCTTTCAACCAAGTATGTTTTTCACCAATAATTACACCAGTTACTTTTCGGATAGCTGCAAATGATGGACTATAGCTTTAAATTATTTAGTGTTGTTACTTCATCCGGCACACTATCGGCCATGCGCATCTCACATCAAAATATTTAAATGTGCTATGTAAGTCTGGTGAAATTATCACACAAATGTGACCTGCCATGTCATAATGAGGAATAAGTCCCATCGTTGACTTTTTTAGTTTCATATACCATGTAAAAGAGCTACTCTTTAGCTTTCTAATGACACCAAACTTATTTCTGTAGCTCAAAAAACTACAGTCTACAAAACTTTGGTGTATTTTGCCACCTACCCGAATTCCCCGTCAGCAAAGCTGGAGAAGCGAAAGTTCATCATGAAGGTGAGGTTGGCCAGCCAGTTAGGGATGTCTGCTTTCACCACCAGGTAGACCAGTAAAGGGAGCAAGTCATCCGAGGACATCGCTGGAGCTGAGGACAACATTGAAGAAACAAAGCAAGAGAGTGTGAACTCGTCTCCGTTTTGGGGGCTGAAAAACCCGAACACCTCTTGTTTGTCAAAAAAAAAAAACACAAGCATGTAGCTCTGGTTCATTAATTGTTGTGGAAATGGAATCCGAGGGTGGGGAAGACCACTGGGAGGGACCGTTTCCCGGGAAGATTCTTATTGGTTTGTACCAGGCATGCGACTGGAAATTCAGGAAAACCGAGGAAATTCCAAGCCACACAACACGTTGTACAGTGTTTTTCAATTTGTAATAAAATCCACAAATTCCTTGAACTTGACTCAACATGGCACTGACTTGTGATTGCCTTACAATCAGTCTGGTGATGGACTTGTCTACACAATAAAACTCCAATTTTGCACTTCGACGACTGACCTGGTTCCTTGGAGCGTGCTCTAAACCCCGGCTGGCTGATGGCCATCACGGTACGGCGTAGACAGTGCAGCTTCTCCAACGGTGTGCGGTACTGGTTCAGTGTGGACAGCTCGCGTCGAGCCCGGGGAACGTTGGCCGTGAATTCTGGCCGGACTCCGACATCTCGGACCTGGAGCTCTGAGAGATTCCTGGTGGTCTTGTTCAATGCTGCATCCTGTCCAAAGCATACAAATCTCAATTACATGATAAGTTACATTTGTCATTAGGCCTTCTAGAAAAAAAATGTTTTCTTTGCACGACGCTCCACTGCGACACTGCATACTCCAATCGCACGCGTCATACTTAACAATTGTTGACTGCTGTGATGTGGGATATATTTTGAACATCCAAGGGGCGCAAAGCACCCGAGGCAAAGCTATGTGAGGGTGCTATGTGCCGAGGGAGTTCAAAGCCATAACACACTCCCTGTGGGATATCACGTATGTGATATCCCACAGGGAGTGTGCCATGACTTTTTATAAACTTGACACGTGATCGTTCTAGGCCAATGAAAATAAAGTATTCAAGACAGAGGTATAACAATTAAGTATGGTCACACAATCGCGCCCGTGATTGGGCAAACTATCATGGTGCATGGCTTTTATTCATGGATTGACAACTGAATCATGTGGAAAACCATTAGTGAACACTAGACACTACTATCAATGATGACACTACAGTAATTTACATGTAGGCACAATCACAACGCAATTGCCAATGCATCTCACAAATCTTTAGCAAGTAACTTTTTTTACACTGAGTAAGGCCAAAAAAAAAAATAAGTTGGTCTCTGGTCAGCGCGCGTCGATTTTAATCATGCGCGTCGATCTTTTTTTTTTCCAAAATGTTCCGCGGTAGCTCCAACAGCGCCCTCTATTTCCACACCTCCTCAATTTGTTTTACCAAAGAGCACCAAGGAATGGGAAATTGCACCAAGGTAAATGATCAAAAGCACCAAGGCAAATTATGGAGGACACCAATGTACATGAGGACACCAAACAAGCAAAATAGTACCCCACCTTGTCTGTACAATCCAAGCTTGAAGAAAAAAAAAAAAGCAAAAAAAAAAAAAGCCGCATCGCCGCGTCAATTCCGGAACTTTGGTCTGACCAGAGACCGAATTTTTTTGGGGGGCCTAATACATATGAAAACGGCCCCAATCTGTTGGGAAGCTAGGGCCTACCTGGCTGGCTAGGAAGGAGCTGATAGCCTTGAAGACTTTGCCATACACACCGTGCAGGATGTAGGTCTCCATCGACGTCTTGAGGTTATCCATGTGACCATGATGCTGACGTACTGTCTTGCGCTGTAAGAGAAAAAAAAAAACTCACCCAAATAGTCTGATGCTCTGCGAATCAATAATTTGCTGGTGTCTAAACTATACATGTATGTACAGGGGGACAATACCAACAGACCAAAAGATGGGGACATTATGAAACAGCTTTTCACATCTTATCAGCACAGAACCATTAGAGCAACTTGCAGTTATAGTCAGGTGATTCGTAAAGGAATCTACACTTTCCTGTCTTGACTTCAGGGAACAAGACCAAGATGGCCAACACTCGAAGTTGATTTTAATACTTAATCAACACAGCATTTTCAATCAATTAGCATGGCGATAGTATGGTGACGCAGGGGTAGATCTACACTCTAGTTGTGCCTTGACTTCAGGGAACAAGACCAAGATGGCCGATGGATGACACGGCTATCTTACCAGGACGGAGTCTCTGAGTGCTATTTGCATGGCCATGGAAAACAGTGCGCTGGTCTCATCAATGGTGTGTCGTAGGGTCTCCATCTGTTGGCTTGTGTTACGGAAATTTGTGACGAGGTCGTCCACCTGTTTCTGAGAGTATTTACTATCTATAGATAAAAAAGTACAGAACTTACTTAGCATGTACCTTGCTGATTCACTCTTTCAGTTAACCATCCCCAAACTCCCCAAAACTCCCCAAAACTAGCAAGATGTAGAGTGCACACATAATAATATCACTACATTTAGAGGATTTAGCAGGATCAAGATAGGCAGAGCCTAGCTAGCAACTAGTTATTCACATGGGACTTGATGCCCCTGGAAAATTCAAGTACAAAGCTGTGCCATTGGTGTTGTGCACTCTGGGGTATTCAAGAAATGTTTCTTGGTAGAAATGTGTAGATTGTTAAATCAAAGGATATCTTGTGCTTTTATTACTGGCATGACACGTTACTGATTTTTTTTTAAACATCCATAGTAAACTGATTATCATAGTTCAACTTGGACTAATAAGAACTGATGATGGTTATGAAAACAACCCATTCCTAAGAAGGAATTTGCGTAGGGGTCATGTACATTTTTAATTCAATATTGGGTTTTCCTTCACCAATGCATTTTATAAACACCGTATACTCAGTGTCGTCCCGAGTGATTGTGAGCAAAATCACTCTGGTGAGACTCGAACCTACGACCCCCTGCTCACTACTGCAGACGTCCCACCACTCGACCACCGAGCCGGCCGGGGTCGGCTAGCTGGTTCAAATCGAATATAGCAGTGGGTACCAAAAATGACCCAAACCTTGAACAAAATATCAGCAATAATCTCTTGCACATGTTGCACTGCCATACTTACATTTACTTCCCCACAGGAAATCTGCACAATCATCCAAGGTTTCTAGACACGTTGACACGGGATCCTCAACCACCTCTGTGCATGCAACCAAATTTCAGTGATTATGCGCTAATTAAAGAAATACACCATGCTTGAATCCTTCCTCAGACTCAACTACATTTCCTCATGCACCTAAATTTGATTCTTCCTTATCAAAACCCTCCCTCTCTCAGTGACAATCTGCAGAGAGTTACCCTATATGCCACAATCTATCAGGTGACAGGTTTTAACAGGTCTGTTAACTGGCCTCATATTGGTACAATTGACAGGCTGTGATAGGTATGTTAACTGAGGGTACCATGCCTTGACTGACATTGATAGATGTGGTGGGTCAGCGCTGGTGAGTGCCTGTCAATGATGGATTTAGCTCAGTAAAGTGAAGACACGTTCACTCATGCATTCCAGCCAAACAAAGGCGTCGCCTTTATGGCTGCTACACAATCTGTAGCAGTATTCATGGTCACCCTATCTATCAAACCACTTCAACAGGCTTTTATTTTTGGTATACAGTTTAATCCATAGGGGTTTCTGGTAGTTGGTGACCAGCCTTGAATAAGCTATTGAGAGGTAGGGGTTAGGTTTTTTGACAGTTTGTGATAGTTATAAGTATAGAACGGAAAAAAAATAGCTAAAATTGGTGCTTGCTTATATAGTGCTTTCCATCATATCATGTTGTTCTCTTTGACAGCCATCTTGCCTCTTCAACCTTGCATCAATGTTCCCCGAAAGGGGTCAGCCCCCACCCCCTCCACTGCTAAAGTGTTACTGCCATTTCAAAATTTCAAACAAACCATGAATGGAAAATGACGAAGTAAACACAGTTGAACAAAGAAATTGACTGGAGCGGGGTTTGAACCTGCGACCTCTAGATTACCGCTCCGGCGACCTAAGAAACTGAGCTATCTAGCTCTATCCAAATAGTCCATGCCAAACCGACCACTTTTCACTCCATGAAGGCTACTGGTCAAGTCACTTCATTTTACTTGAACACTAACCCTGCCAGAAGCAACAGGTCGAAAAGTCTGGTGCACTTTGATGCATTAATTTAAGCTATCAACACCAGTGCATGAAAAGCCAGTTCTGAAACAATGAGAGCTAGTCCCATTGATCAATGCCACAGTTGTATCCTGCTGCATTCGGTGACCAGGACTCTTAGGCAGTTTGGCCTTGAGACTTTTGACCTAATGGATCTTGCTGCACTGGGCAGGCTTGTCACTTAGACAAATGTTGCATGTTGCTGCGTTTGGCAGGGTTCCTAGCCAAAATACCCTGTAGGGTTAGGGTTAAGAGGTATTTGGCCCATTACCATATCTGAAAAAATTCTTAACTGAAAAGAAAAACAAACGTACCATTTCCGCCTTCCAGCAACCTATCTATACAGACGACCCTATAACTATCGTCCTGATCGTTATAGTAGGTCTCTTCAAACAGGATGTGAACGATTCTTATCTCTTTAAATCCTTTGGTCGTGGTAATGGAGTCACCACTGAGTTGTACCTCCTATAAAGAAAATAGAATTCTTCAAAAGTATTTCGTGCGCGGGTTAACAAAAAGTAATGTTTCCAACAGCAATTTTAACTTTCATGGCAAGATCTGCACAAATGTCTTAGTTGTTGTGGCAAACAAATCGATTCCCATTAAATATAAATCAGTCCAAACCTTGTTGTTGAGGGTTGTGTAGCATCCAGACTTCCCATCGTTGGGTTGGAGTATGTGCGACTCAAAGTCAGCTTGGGTTAGAGAGAAACGAGCAAAGACTCCGGTCCTCGGTATGCAGATCTAAATGGCGGAGTAAAAGAGTCGGAGATAGGACACTCATTCATAAACGTTTTTATGTCCATATTGCTGGCATTTACAGTTCATGTACATCAAATAAGTTAATGAGTAAACAACATAATTCCAGCCCCACGTTGTTACTTTTTGCAATTGACGGAAAAGCAGCAAATCACAAAGTATGACTTGCAGTCTGAAAAGGGCCTTTTGTCAATGGGTATAAGGCTGTGGCTAAAGCAGCAGCACTTGAGGATCATGATGGCCTACGTTTGAGCGTTCGATAAGCCTACTCTCATGGCTATTAAACCTGTCTGCCTTATCCGAGTCCATCTGGGTGAGCTTCTCGAACGCACCCATTAATACAAAACTGATCATGTTTTTCAACTAATCAAAACGTCGGGTGTCAAACCCTACTGTGACCTTTCTGGTGCTGTGCCTCTTTTTTTAAGTTCTGGCAGAAGCTTCTACACATGGTGGTCGCTATGTCTGTCTTTCTGTCCCCTAAAATTCATCAAAAATATCTGATCAAAAGACCGGCTTTGTTTTGATTGATGCACAAGCGTGTCTAGTTTGCATATGAAGTGAAACATTCCCAAACCAGGCCAGAACTTTTTGTGGACTTGCGCTTGTTTAGTTTTTAGTGTGTTTTTAAGGAGTTGATGACAAGTTGATGGTTGTTGACGGCCACTGACAGTAGTTTACAGTAATTAGTATGAAAACTATGACCAATTACCAGTAATCGCTGTCTAGCAGCTTGCTGGTGTAGCTGCCGATATTTGGTCTGCATGATGGTGAAGAATCGATTCTCGGCCAAGTCTTCATCATAGGAGTAGCCCTCCATTGCCGTCGTTTGTGTCGTTCTTCAGCTCTGAATTGCTTGCCTAGTCTCTGATCTGTGAATGCCACAAAGCAGGCGTAACTTTGATGTTTAAAATGTGTCTCGGTGGGTTGTGTTTTTTTTAAAAAGGGACTACGCCAGAGAATAACAAACACTTCGTAAGCATCAGAATATTATCATCCATTTTCAAATTTTTATCCATATTCGAAGTCACTGAAGAAAACATTATGAGAAAAATCCAAGGAGGAAGAATCAGACGCCACTCTGTTGGTTATATTATGGCAAAGACGTCTAGACGATGTCTGCACAGTTTCACTTGTGAGTCATATCCACAAACATTTTTTTTTTTTTTTACTGGTTTTTTTTCGAAACAAAACTAAGACATGAATTTGGTGCAGGCAGTTTAATATTTGCTGCCGTTGAATATAGCATTCATGCAATTTGCAAGTTTCACATCAGGTGTCACATGTATGGGTTAGCATTCAGCACTCTCGATTCAAGAAAAGTTGATTTTAAGAAATTAGGTCTGGGAACAAAATACAGCAGGAAACTTTCAAAGTTCCAGGCTGTCCACGCCAACCCAGTAATACATACATCATGTAATATTACAGTGTAAAGTTTAATATGGGCCTACATACATATGGACAGGTTTTCAGTAGGCCCAAGTTAGTGTCGAATGTTAATGTTCAATATAATTGCAATGAATAACATAATTAAATACATCAGATTTTGAAAAAGAAAAAAAGAATATTAAATTTTCATCCGAATGCATCTAGCCACAATGTGGCTCAAATGCTGGACTTCCTGGAAAGAACGTTACATCCCGATGCCATTTTTTCATCATTATCGTTATTATATCAATGAACTTGAAGGTTAGTCATCATGGTCATTGCAAAAATGTTGAAAAACATTCATCTGTGACTAAGAAACATTGGCGATCGTGTAGTGTAGGGCCCAGTTCCCATAAGGGAACAAAATCCACTTTAAAATTATTAGACCGACCAAACTAGTTGGCGACATTCTCAATAAACAGGTATGTCATAGATAGAGGGCAGGGTTTTGATTTGTTGAGGAAAATTTTGGGGTAAAATGACGATGACAGCGCGGCGACAACATGCGACCCGAAAATAAAGATGGCGATCACCGTGCGATGTACCGTGAGCATACACGGCGCGCTGAATCGCAAGGCACAAACCGCGCAGGAAAATCGTGATTTCTACCCCAAGAATCTGTTTAAAATTGCAAAATGGGCATCATTAGAATTGAGAAAAGTCTGCTTTTGATTGTAAAGGTGATTTTTGAGCAATAAAAAAACATTTTTGACTCTAATTTGATCAAAACAAAACAAGGGCCCTACACTACACGATCGCCGAAACATTTCCCATTTGTTTCAAAATGCACTCGACTCTCATATAGACTTTGTACCCAACCAAAGAAGCAGTGTCTGGATACAACATTGTTTCCGACTTCCTGTCAATATGGAAACAGGGGAAAGAGTAGCCCCACTTGCATGACTTGTATGGCCTCCGCATTGCTGCGCTGTACGTTCAGCCACACGCCTGGTTTTCCAACCTACTGAGGAGTTTATTCCAAACACTGGCGCACCTGTTTTTGGGCGCCTTTTTTTTTTACATACCACTGATATGGTTGTATTCTATGATTTCTCATCTTTTGCCCTCCGGGTAAATTAGGTGATATTTCTTCATTTTTTTTGGGAGAAATTCAGACATCTTTCTGGAGTCCATATGCGCCAGTTTGGTTCTTAACTCCTCAGTAGGTTGGGAAACCAGGCGTGTGGCCTAACGTACAGCGCAGCAATACGGAGGCCACACAAGTGGGCCACATTTTATATTGTTCATGTACCCTAACGTGGCGCGGCCCCTAACGTGGCGCACTTTCATTTTTCGCCTGTAGCGCCTAGCTAGAGCAAAAGTTTTAACTGAAATTTCCAAGAAAGTGAAATTTCATCAAGTTCTTAACACTCCCGTTCATAAATCGCGAGTTTATTTACCCGTTACAAGTTAAAAGAAAAAAATATTTTGGCGTGATTTTCCGATTTTATTTTCAAGTGCAAAGTGAACCCTTTGAAAATGCCCCGAAAATAAGAAAATAATTTTCTGACAAACATCTGGCTGGGTTTGTAAGTAAATATAATAATGATTTATCTGAATTTATCAAGTTTACAGAAATTCTTAAATGTTAATTTGGATTTTTCTGAGATTTATTCAAGTGCGCCACGTTAGGGAACACTCCGCCAATTTGTGCCCAATTTCCGGACGCGACCGTTTTTGCATTTCGGATTAAATTTTATGAAACCGAAATTGTTCACAGAGGTTAAATAGTAAACATTAATAAGGTAAAAGTACCAGCATTTCACTGCATGAATTTGAGGTTTATCAACAAAGAGGTTTGGCAACACTACACGAGGAAAGTTGGGTAAGCTTCGAAGTGCGCCACGTTAGGGAACACGACTATACGCAGCTAATCATGTATTGAAATTGTGTCCGGAAACTGGGCAAAGCAACTCGTCCACGGAATTAAGTTTTAATCCCTGTAAATTAAAGAACTATCCGTATTAAAAAAAAACATTTCTGTGCAATTTACATCCGCTACTTTGATTATACTAATAATAAAACTGGACAAAACTGGGAGGAAAGTTAATTAACATGTTTTCTTACACGACGTACCGTACAGATAACGATAACGAAAGCCATCGTCCTCGTCCTCGTCCTCGATCGTAATCAGTTAAGCTGTCAAGTGAGGGCGCTACACATTCAGTCCAATCTATTTTTAGCTGCAGATAATAACTTAATTACTGCTCTATGTCGTTCGTTCGTTGGTTCGTTCGTTCGTTGGTTCGTTCGTTGGAATGCACACCTGTGCACTTTATATAACCTTGGCCACCTCCTGCCTGAGGTCCTGTTTCGCTTTAATGGGCCTCAATTTGCAAGTTGCAGTTTGCAGGGTCACTATTATTAGTTTGCATGGTGAAATTACATGGCTCAATGACGTCACTCGTGTAATTATGAACCGAACTCACTGGCCCCCAGCTTCTGAGATCACTATTTGAGCTTGTTTTTTATGGTATTCTAAAACGGACAGGCAATGATGGTCGTGGTCCAACTTTTCAAACGTCGATCGTTCCTCAACTTTCAAATGTCCGTACTTAAGTTTTTGGGCATCTTTTGACGGTTGACGTTATGACGCATTTAAATTAGCCTGCGAACGTCGGTGCGCATTATGACATAATATTACCACGCTTTTCTTTTCAACCTTATTCGTTTATGGGCAATCATTTCATCGTTTGGTCATTCAAATAAAGACGATTTTTTCCTATTTTCTCACAGGTTTTGAAATTCTACGGTGACTATAAAATTATGTAATGTAATAAACTAGCTGATAGAGGGATAGATGATATAAACGAAACAATGCATGAATGAAAAGAGAAAGGCCTAAGTATTTTTTTTTAAATTCTTAAAACTCCGCCTTAAATTTTTTTTTTTCGCGTCCACCGAGCTGTTCTGACTTTTTAGCCTCGAGCCTTGCGCATCTTTAGACACCAAAAACATACATTACCAGCACGTTGTCGTAAAAGTTGGTATCTCCATTTTGTCTTAACTTGTTCTTTTAAAATGGGGTAATTGAGCGTGATGGTAGAGTGACGTTCTTCGATCGTCAGTCTTGGGGTTGGAGGTTCGAGCCCCAGCATGTCACCAACGACATTTTTTTTTCGTCAGAGCGAAGGGGGTGGGATGGGGGACTGACGACAACACGTGACTTTTGACGTCACCACTCTTTGCAATCATAGGTTTATATATATTATAAATTCCCTACTTGGAAAGTGCGAGCCGGTAGCCAATCGGTAGAGTGACGTTCTTCGATCGTCAGTCTTGGGGTTGGAGGTTCGAGCCCCAGCATGTCACCAATGACATTAATTTTTTTTCGTAAGGGGGTCGGGTGGAGGACTTTTGACGTCACCACCATTTGCAATCATAGGTTTATATATATTATAAATTCCGAACTTGATAAGTGCGAGCCGGTAGAACAGTCGGTATAGATAAAGTGACGTTCTTCGATCGACAGTCTTGGGGTTGGAGGTTCGAGCCGCAGCATGTCACCAACGACATTTTTTTTTCTTCGTCACAACCGAGTCGGGTGGAATGGAAGACTGACGACGACACGTGACTTTGACGTCTCCACCCTTTGATTTCATAGGTTTATATATATTATAAATTCCGTACTTGGTAAGTGCGAGCCGGTAGCCCAGTCGGTAGAGTGACGTTCTTCGATCGTCAGTCTTGAGGTTGGAGGTTCGAGACCCAGCATGTCACCAATGACATTTATTGTTTTTTTCGTCAGAGCGAAGGGGGTGGGTGGAGGACTGACGACGACACGTGACTTTTGACGTCACCACCATTTGCAATCATAGATTTATATATATTATAAATTCACAGTGCGAGCCGGTAGCCCAGTCGGTAGAGTGACGTTCTTCGATCGTCAGTCTTGGGGATGGAGGTTCGAGCCCCAGCATGTCACCAATGACATTTTTTTTTTCGTCAGAGCGAAGGGGGTCGGTTGGAGGACTGACGACGACACGTGACTTTTGACGTCACCACTCTTTGCAATCATAGGTTTATATATATTATAAATTCCCTACTTGGAAAGTGCGAGCCGGTAGCCAATCGGTAGAGTGACGTTCTTCGATCGTCAGTCTTGGGGATGGAGGTTCGAGCCCCAGCATGTCACCAATGACATTTTTTTTTTCGTCAGAGCGAAGGGGGTCGGGTGGAGGACTGACGACGACACGTGACTTTTGACGTCACCACTCTTTGCAATCATAGGTTTATATATATTATAAATTCCGAATTTGATAAGTGCGAGCCGGTAGCCCAGTCGGTAGAGTGACGTTCTTCGATCGTCAGTCTTCGGGTTGGAGGTTCGAGTCCCAGCATGTCACCAATGGCATTTATTTTTCTTAGTCAGAGCGAAGGGGGTCGGGTGGAGGACTGGCGACGACACGTGACTTTTGACGTCACCACCATTTGCAATCATAGGTTTATATATATTATAAATTCCAAACTTGATAAGTGCGAGCCCGTAGCCCACCCAGGTGAAAATTCCAGTTGAAACCAGTTACAATTTCAACTGGTTTTAACTGGGATTAACTGGTGTCCAACTGGTACCTGTTCGATTCAACTGGTTTCAACTGGTAGCTCAACTGGATTCAGCAGAACCAGTTGAAACCAGTTGAACTTACCAGTTACCAACTGGCAATTCTTGTTGTGCCAACAGGAACCAGTTGAAACCAGTTGAAAAAAGAGTTTATCAACTGGCAATTCTTGTTGTGTCCACAGCCAGTTGAAACCTGTTGAAGAAACCATGGCAATTCTTGTTGTGCCATATCAATTAACTGGAACCAGTTGAAACCAGTGTTAAGAAACCAGTTATCAACTGGCAATTCTTGTGGTGTTAATAGGAACCAGTTGAAACCAGTTGAATTAGCAACCAAACTGGTCACGGTAGTGGTATCCAAGTGTCAACATGTTCTGGACCAGTTGAAACCAGTTAACGTACCAGTTGCAGAAACCAGTGTCAACAGGAAATTTAAAACCAACAGCTATAGGGCCCGGACCATCAACAATTGAAACCAGTTGATGGAACCATATAAATGGAAAAAGTTATTACCAGCTGTTAATTATTTGCCATTTGCTCATGTTATATATATTTTTTTGCTTTGCGGTAGATGGTCGATCATTAATTGTTTTTCAGTTTTGAGCTTATAATTGAGAACTGAAGAGAAGAATTTCAATGGGAAATTGACTTAAGATTTTCAGTAGAAAACCAGCCAACATGATTCAAGACTGCACATCATGTTTGTCGCGGTTGCGGTTCAATAATATGATGGACTCTTCCCCCCCCCCCCCCAACCCGTGCAGCGATATACTGTATGGGAATGCATTGTACATGTACATTCCACACAACGTATACTGTACATGTACATGTATATGACTTACACTGTCCAGTCTTGCGCAAGGTCACTTCATGCCCTTTGACACACGTACTATAGTGGTCAGCACACAGCATATACTGTACATGTAAATATGACCTTGCCTCAACCAGAAAAACCGTTAGGCCACATTGCGCTAGCCTGCATGCAGTTCAGTTCTACTACTCATTCAAAATGGTTAAAGACGGAGCAGGCACAAATGTATCGTCTTCTCGAAAAAACACTGATTACATGTATTGTATTCAGTTCCAAATCCGCGTCCAAAAGCATCACACATGTCTGTAAACATACAGCTTATTAGTCAGAGTTAATATTCCTGCAGCACCATGGTCTTTGCGGAATGGGAGATAGTTTGGACAGAACCTTTCGTTTCTGGAGCCCTGTTCTTTCAAACCTACAGTTTGTTGTAGGCCTTACTGGTAAGTTTGTACTGAATGTTTCAAATACCCAGCTTTTTTTTATTCGTATCCGTTGTACAGCATTGATTCTGTCACATTTGTACTACATTTTATGTTTGATATCATTATTTGCTTAAACATGCTTAAGCTTTGTTTGTGATCAGCTGGCCATGCTGGTGAGAAAATAAAGCTCATAGTCATATCCAAGTATTATACATTTTGTACATTTACTAGCACGACTAGTTCTACATAATACTCGAAGCAGTCACAATGAGGAATACATGTATATGAGTTTGGACTCCTGGTTAATTCTGTCGTATTCCCATAAAATGCAAGAAACAGCACACCTTTAATAATTTCAGGGATCAGGAAAGTATTGCATAAAGCAAGGTAAATGAAATATTGGTGGTATTAGGATACAAATTAATTGCGGATCACAATTTCTTCGGCATTGCAGAAGTTAATCAGGTTACTTTTAATAATGTTAAGAATGAACATATTAAAAGCAAAATCCTGACAAAGTGGTGGTTTCTGAAAGTACAACTAGAGCTGTCTTATTCAGCCCAGACCATCTTTGTTCTTAAGGGTTTTTTGGAGGGTTTGCTTTTCTTACTTTTTAATTTGTTTTTGGTTTGTTCTCAATGACAGGGAGCCATGGACACAATGGAACAGTCAATCGATACGTGAGGAGAGGAGTTTTGCAACAGAGACGGGTGCGACAGTGACGGGAAAAGGCTCAGGAGACACTGGAGAAGCACGTATATATAGGAACAATCTGCAGCAAATTAAGTGACTCGGAGTGTAATTGTTATAACCATTTGAAGCACGCGAACTGGATATCAAAACAGTGACGTTATTTCTGCAAGGCTTCAGTGTTACAGCTTTGGTGTTTTTCATCTTTGATTCGATAAAATTTGACCAGTACATGAAAGTTCTGTGCTTCCCAGGACCTGTTTCCCCAGGTCTGTACATTTCTCCATTTTTTTGTCAATATTATGATGATCTGAGACTGAATGTTAATTGCCCTGGATTTATCAAGCCATTGAAGTTTCCTGTAAATTTACTCACCGAGATATTGAGACGAGTTTCATAATTAAAACGAATAGGCTAGCTTTACTGTTTTAGCGTGGATTGTGGCCTAATTATGAAACGAGAGGCATTAAACTCAAACCAAAACCTTCCCTCTTTTATCCTCAACATTCAAATTTACATGTAAGTTGGATTGTGGAAAATCATCTAGCCATCAAAAAAATCTTGTAAAAATCAAGTGTAAAATAACTTCCACCACCATCTTGATAGTTTTTCATGGTTCAAGACTTCTGCATCTATTTATTTGAAAAGCCAATTATAATATTTCATTGATTATGATGATACACATTTTGTAAATAGTGTCAAATATATACAACGTACAGTATTTGCCAAAACATTTTGCTCCCCTTTGTCTCATTTGTAATACTTGTATCCGGATAATCACTCTTTATTATCAATTGCAAAATATCTATCTGGATATATTCAACAAACTACATGTATTCGCCCTTGAAGCAACCCACAGATCTCAACCCGCCTGTTCAAGACCATTTCAACCCGCTAACGACAGTTTGATGCCAACTACAGACCAATTCAAAACGACTTCACAGTTCCAAACCAGTTGGCAACAGCTCATGTCATTTGTGAACCAGTTGGAAACCATGTTCACCAGTTAAACCAGTTGGAAACCAGTTGAACCAGTTGGAAACTTCATACCAGTTGGAAACTTCATACCAGTTAAACCAGTTCATACCAGTTAACCAGTTGATAACCAGTTACACCAGTTGCCCAGTTCATACCAGTTAAACTGATTTGGCACCAGTTGAAACCAGTTAGAAACCAGTTCAACCAGTGGCCCAGTTAGAAACCAGTTACACCAGTTGCCCAGTTCATACCAGTTTGAAACCAGTTATAAACCAGTTAAACCAGTTGCCCAGTTAGAAACCAGTTAAACCAGTTGCCCAGTTCATACCAGTTAAACCAGTTCAAAACCAGTTCATACCAGTTGAACCAGTTAATACCAGTTAAACCAGTTAAAACCAGTCACCAATTCCCAGTTCAACTGGGACCAGTTGAAACCAGTTGAAACCAGTTCAACTGGTTTCAACTGGAATTTTCACCTGGGCAGTCGGTAGAGTGACGTTCTTCGATCGTCAGCCTTGGGGTTGGAGGTTCGAGACCCAGCATGTCACCAATGACATTTATTGTTTTTTTCGTCAAAGCGAAGAGGGTGGATGGAGGACTGACGACGACACGTGACTTTTGACGTCACCACCCTTTGCAATCATAGGTTTATATATATTATAAATTCCCTACTTGGTAAGTGCGAGCCGGTAGAACAGTCGGTATAGAGTGACGTTCTTCGATCGACAGTCTTGGGGTTGGAGGTTCGAGCCCCAGCATGTCACCAACGACATTTTTGTTTTCGTCAGAGCGAAGGGGGTGGGTGGAGGACTGACGACGACACGTGACTTTTGACGTCACCACCATTTGCAATCATAGATTAGAGTGACGTTCTTCGATCGTCAGTCTTGGGGATGGAGGTTCGAGCCCCAGCATGTCACCAATGACATTTTTTTTTTCGTCAGAGCGAAGGGGGTCGGTTGGAGGACTGACGACGACACGTGACTTTTGACGTCACCACTCTTTGCAATCATAGGTTTATATATATTATAAATTCCCTACTTGGAAAGTGCGAGCCGGTAGCCAATCGGTAGAGTGACGTTCTTCGATCGTCAGTCTTGGGGATGGAGGTTCGAGCCCCAGCATGTCACCAATGACATTTATTTTTTTTCGTCAGGGGGTCGGGTGGAGGACTGACAACGACACGTGACTTTTGACGTCACCACCATGTGCAATCATAGGTTTATATATATTATAAATTCCGAACTTGATAAGTGCGAGCCGGTAGCCAAGTCGGTAGAGTGACGTTCTTTGATCGTCAGTCCAGAGGTTAGAGGTTCGAGCCCCAGCATGTCACCAATGACATTTATTTTTCTTAGTCAGAGCGAAGGGGGTCGGGTGGAGGACTGGCGACGACACGTGACTTTTGACGTCACCACCATTTGCAATCATAGGTTTATATATATTATAAATTCCAAACTTGATAAGTGCGAGCCCGTAGCCCAGTCGGTAGAGTGACGTTCTTCGATCGTCAGCCTTGGGGTTGGAGGTTCGAGACCCAGCATGTCACCAATGACATTTATTGTTTTTTTCGTCAAAGCGAAGAGGGTGGATGGAGGACTGACGACGACACGTGACTTTTGACGTCACCACCCTTTGCAATCATAGGTTTATATATATTATAAATTCCCTACTTGGTAAGTGCGAGCCGGTAGAACAGTCGGTATAGAGTGACGTTCTTCGATCGTCAGTCTTGGGGTTGGAGGTTCGAGACCCAGCATGTCACCAATGACATTTATTGTTTTTTTCGTCAATAGCGAAGAGGGTGGGTGGAGGACTGACGACGACACGTGACTTTTGACGTCACCACCATTTGCAATCATAGGTTTATATATATTATAAATTCCCTACTTGGTAAGTGCGAGCCGGTAGAACAGTCGGTATAGAGTGACGTTCTTCGATCGACAGTCTTGGGGTTGGAGGTTCGAGCCCCCGCATGTCACCAACGACATTTTTTTTTTCGTCTGAGGGAAGGGGGTGGGATGGACGACTGACGACGACACGTGACTTTTGACATCACCACCCTTTGCAATCATAGGTTTATATATATTATAAATTCCGTACTTGGTATGTGCGAGCCGGTAGCCCAGTCGGTAGAGTGACGTTCTTCGATCGTCAGTCTTGAGGTTGGAGGTTCGAGACCAAGCATGTCACCAATGACATTTATTGTTTTTTTTCGTTAGAGCGAAGGGGGTGGGTGGAGGACTGACGACGACTCGTGACTTTTGACTTCGACACCATTTGCAATCATATATATAGGTTTATATATATTATAAATTCCGTACTTGGTAAGTGCGAGCCGGTAGCCCAGTCGGTAGAGTGACGTTCTTCGATTGACAGTCTTGGGGTTGGAGGTTCGAGCCCCAGCATGTCACCAATGACATTTATTTTTTTTCGTCAGGGGGTCGGGTGGAGGACTGACAACGACACGTGACTTTTGACGTCACCACCATGTGCAATCATAGGTTTATATATATTATAAATTCCGAACTTGATAAGTGCGAGCCGGTAGCCAAGTCGGTAGAGTGACGTTCTTTGATCGTCAGTCCAGAGGTTAGAGGTTCGAGCCCCAGCATGTCACCAATGACATTTATTTTTTTTCGTCAGAGCAAAGGGGGTCGGGTGGGGGACTGACGACGACACGTGACTTTTGACGTCACCACCATTTGCAATCATAAGTTTATATATATTATAAATTCCGTACTTGGTAAGTGCGAGCCGGTAGCCCAGTCGGTAGGGTGACGTTCTTCGATCGTCAGTCTTGAGGTTGGAGGTTCGAGACCAAGCATGTCACCAATGACATTTATTGTTTTTTCGTCAGAGCGAAGGGGGTGGGTGGAGGACTGACGACGACACGTGACTTTTGACGTCACCACCATTTGCAATCATAGATTTATATATATTATAAATTCACAGTGCGAGCCGGTAGCCAATCGGTCGAGTGACGTTCTTCGATCGTCAGTCTTGGGGTTGGAGGTTAGAGCCCCAGCATGTCACCAGTGACATTTATTTTTTTTCGTCAGAGCGAAGGGGGTCGGGTGGAGGACTGACGACGACACGTGACTTTTGACGTCACCACCATTTGCAATCATAGGTTTATATATATTATAAATTCCAAACTTGATAAGTGCGAGCCGGTAGCCCAGTCGGTAGAGTGACGTTCTTCGATCGTCAGTCTTGGGGTTGGAGGTTCGAGACCCAGCATGTCACCAATGACATGTATTGTTTTTTTCGTCAATAGCGAAGGGGGTGGGTGGAGGACTGACGACGACACGTGACTTTTGACGTCACCACTCTTTGCAATCATAGGTTTATATATATTATAAATTCCCTACTTGGTAAGTGCGAGCCGGTAGAACAGTCGGTATAGAGTGACGTTCTTCGATCGACAGTCTTGGGGTTGGAGGTTCGAGACCCAGCATGTCACCAATGACATTTATTGTTTTTTTCGTCAGAGCGAAGGGGGTGGGTGGAGGACTGACGACGACACGTGACTTTTGACATCACCACCATTTGCAATCATAGGTTTATATATATTATAAATTCCGTACTTGGTATGTGCGAGCCGGTAGCCCAGTCGGTAGAGTGACGTTCTTCGATCGTCAGTCTTGAGGTTGGAGGTTCGAGACCCAGCATATCACCAATGACATTTATTGTTTTTTTCGTCAGAGCGAAGGGGGTGGGTGGAGGACTGACGACGACACGTGACTTTTGACGTCAAAACCATTTGCAATCATATATATAGGTATTTATATATATATTTTAAATTCCGTACTTGGTAAGTGCGAGCCAGGTAGCCCAGTCGGTAGAGTGACGTTCTTCGATTGACAGTCTTGGGGTTGGAGGTTCGAGCCCCAGCATGTCACCAATGACATTTATTTTTTTCGTCAGGGGGTCGGGTTGAGGACTGACAACGAGACGTAACTTTTGACGTCACCACCATTTGCAATCATAGGTTTATATATATTATAAATTCCGAACTTTATAAGTGCGAGCCGGTAGCCCAGTCGGTAGAGTGACGTTCTTCGATCGTCAGTCCTGGGTTTGGAGGTTCGAGTCCCAGCATGTCACCAATGACATTTTTTTTTTCGTCAGAGCGAAGGGGGTCGGGTGGAGGACTGACGACGACACGTGACTTTTGACGTCACCACCATTTGCAATCATAGGTTTATATATATTATAAATTCCGAACTTGATAAGTGCGAGCCGGTAGCCCAGTCGGTAGAGTGACGTTCTTCGATCGTCAGTCTTGGGGTTGGAAGTTCGAGCCCCAGCATGTCACCAACGACATTTATTTTTTTTCCTCACAGCGAAGGGGCTGAGATGGAGGAATGACGACGACACGTGACTTTTGACGTCATACCCTTTGCTATCATAGGTTTATATATATTATAAATGCCCTACTTGGAAAGTGCGAGCCGGTAGCCAATCGGTAGAGTGACGTTCTTCGATCGTCAGTCTTGGGGTTGGAGGTTCGAGGCCCAGCATGTCACCAAATGACATTTATTGTTTTTTTCGTCAAAGCGAAGGGGGTGGGTGGAGGACTGACGACGACACGTGACTTTTGACGTCACCACCCTTTGCAATCATAGGTTGATATATATTATAAATTCCCTACTTGGTAAGTGCAAGCCGATAGAACAGTCGGTATAGAGTGACGTTCTTCGATCGACATTCTTGGGGTTGGAGGTTCGAGGCCCAGCATGTCACCAACGA